AATCTTAAGGAAGTTCGCCAATAATTGAGATCTTTTCTTCCTTGAAACAGATAATAGGGGTCTTAAACTTGCTCTTTTTCAAAGGGGTAGAGTGATAACTATCCAAGATCAGCTCGAATTAGTTACTATTGTATTATTTGTATATGTAAGCTAACATAGAAAAAAGCCTCTGTTTTAGTTTTACTTGATTCAATTGCATGTCTTTAAAGTGAATGAGAATGGAGAGAGTGATAATGGATGTAGTGAGATACACCTAGAATACTTTTTGTTGTTTTCTTCCTGAATGGGGTGAAATTTGTTTCTAGTAACTTGAAGCAAAATTTTATGTCTATCACTGAACGATGATTGACTTAAAAATGGTCATTGAACTTTGATTTTGTTGCTATATTAGTCACTCTTTTTAATTATGTCGCATTTAACACTAACAAATTGCTGATTTAGAATATTTTTATTTTTTAAAAATAAAACTTCGATTTTCAACTAAGCAATCTAATAGAAAAAGGAAAGAAAAAAGAGACAAGTATAGAGTTATTCACCTCAAAAACTTATCAAAATCCAAAGCTAAAATCGAACCCATGTTCTACATGACCACCTCCTGTCCGCCGCTCATTGTTTGAAAAACCTTTTGAGGCTTACGCCTCATGTCAACCTCGCTTGAAGCTTTCCTTAAATGCTTAAAGCTTACTCCTAAATTGCCATTTGTGAGGCTTGTGCAAGATTTACTTTGGCTTATGCCTCAAACTAGCGAGGCTCATGCCTTGAGGCTAAACCTCATGGTTACTGAGTTGTTTACCCATATGTCTTGCCATTTCTACGCATTGCACTGTGGCCTTAGCTTTTTGGAATATTATTTTATAACATAGAATGTTATATGGTTTTTTAGTTTCTATATTTTGCCTTTTCTGGAGTATTATAACTTTTAAGTTGTATTGCTATGTGCATATTTTTATAATTTTATATTCTTTTGTATTATTTTATCGTGGTCTTGATGCTTACTCCTCAAAATGTCTCTAGGCTTGTGCATCACCTCACTAAGGTAAAACACTTCGATACTCTGTTTAGCCTTTCTAAACATTGCCCCTGCCCCTCACTTTGTCAAATTCTGAGTCCGATGGACTTCCTGCCAGTGAAAGCACCTCTACCACCTCAACAAAGCTTCACTTAAAGGAGGTTTTGAGTAACAATCTCGATGGCACTTCGCTATTTGCATTCACAGCCCCAAGAAGAATTCATATCCCAAGAGTTCAAGACACAATCCGATTTCAGATAAGCTAATAAAATTTTGCAATATTTTCTAATTGCTCTAGGTTAAGTGTAAGAACCTATCTCAAAAAACTATTATTGTAGATCTTTTGTATTTTTGTCGCACTGATAAATGAACATATTAGTGGCATGTATGGTTGAAATACAACCTGTTAGGTCCAAAATTATAGTTAGCAATTTATGTATCCAAAATCACGAGTTATTGAGTAATAATTAAAGTCAAAATAGTTGAGAACTGGTCGTATAGGTCATGAAGGAGTCAAAGATGTCAAATATGAATCAAGGAGACGAAGTTGGCTCAAAGCCGATCGCTGGCCACGCATGGTGTGTTCGAGCTCTCAAAGTAGGCGCTTTGCCGCTTGGTAGGCGCACTTGGAGCTCCATTGCTTGCTAAGCTTGAAGGCAGCGCTCAAGTGGCAGTGAGACGTACAAAAGTCCTGTTCGTGATTTTAAAGCTATTTTCCAATCTTATTTACCTCAAACGCTACTTATTATATATACCCAAGCATAGGTCCATCCCAAAGTGTGTCAAATCATTATTTCGTATTAGAGAACATCCTTTGGAGATCATAAGCACATTCTAAAGATCTCTTGATTCAACTCTAAGATCAAATCATCATAATTCATCCCAAACATCTTGTAGTTTTGTTTGAGGCTTTGAGCTTTAATTTCAGTCTAGAGAGATCAACTTGATTCCATTATTTTTTTGCTTCAATCAAAGATCAAAATATAGAAGATCTAGAGATCAAACTTCGAAAACCCTTACCTTCATCTATAAGCCTTTAGAGTTATAAAGTTGGAGAAGAGGCGCTTGGAGTTGAAGCGCTCCGGAACGAGTTCCTTCTTGGTGATCCACGTGGAGGAAGTGCGGATTGCACAATCAAAGAGTTCTTCGGTGATTTACAAGTTGGGTGGTCAGAGTCAGCTATAGTTTAGCAGTGTCTAGACCAAATGTAAGTTAGCTTTTTTAGTAGATCTTTTTGGCAAGGTTTACTTGGAGGTTTTTGATTCTCGTGAAGAGTTATTTAAGGGGTTTTTCTCCGTTATCAATTTTTGGTGTTATCATGCTTTTGTTCTATACGTTTGTGATTGTTTAATTTAGGGTTTTGATTGTATTTATCCTTAAATCATCTACAAACCATAAATAAATGACGTGTTGCTTTTTATTGGTTAATTCCACATATTTGGATATAATTATTTTCTAACAAGTGGTATTAGAGCTTAATTGTGATATGTGACCTTATTTTGTCTAGATTAGTCAATCTCTTTTTGTTCCTCCATTATTTGACGGAAGTAATTATGTGTACTAGAAGGTTAGAACGATGCCTTTCTTAAGTCTATGGATGAGCAGGTTTAGGTTAGTATGCAGAAAGGTTGGACTGCCCAGCTACATCTGTTGCAAGCATAGTTACCCCTACAAAGGTTTCCACTTGGTCTAAGAATGATTTATATTAGTGTAACTAGAATAGTAGAGGGATACATGCCAACTTTATGACTTTCACCGAAGGAGTATAAATGAGTATCCATGTGTGAGATCGTGAAAGATGCTTAGGATATATTAGAAACCATACTAGGGAACCAAGAGCATTAAAAATTCTAAATTGCAGTTGGCCACTAGATTTGAAAAAATAAGAATGACTGAATTTTTTTGATGATTTGTATGTTAAATTAAATGATATAGTCAACTCTAGTTTTAACCTAGGTGAGGGAATCCTTGAGGCTAAGATTGTGAGAGGTTATGAGATCTCTACCCTGGAGGTTTTTGATCCTTGTGAAGAGTTCTTCAAAGGGTTCTCCTCTGTCATCAATTTTTGGTGTTATTTACTTTTTACTCTTTTTATTTATACGTTTGTGCTTGTTTAATTTAGGATTTAAGTTGTATTTAACCTTAATCATTTAGAAACAATAAATAAGCGACATGTTTTTTATTGGTTAATTCCGCATATTTGGGTCTAAATGTTTTCTAACACAACCTATGATATTCTAACGTTGATAGGCCAATTTCTCTTTGCAAAGGGGTATGCCGATTTTAAAATCTGCAATGAGTCATTTTTTAAGAGGGGGGGGGGTCCTCATATCGATGGGTTTGGATTGGGCCGCAATTGTAGATAGAACTGGCAATAGGGGGCGAGTCAGGGTGGGTTTGTAGGGAAGAAGTAAACTTTTTCCCCTTTTATTTTTATCTATTTATATTTCTTTTACTCTTTTCATATTTGATGAAATAAACATTTTATGTTTTTGCTATGCCACATCAGCACTTTGTTAGTATTAAATACTGTGTAAGATTTTTCTAGTTAGTATTCCTAACGAATTAAAAAAGTGACTATCGTGGAAACCGAAAATGAAAGTTAAAGAGAGAGGATTTTGAGACAAATCAAAGATCAGCAATCCAGGTGAATTTTACTGCTAGTTCAATGAGTAGATATAAAATTAACCCACCTAAGTGCTACTGTGTAAGTGCAAAAAAATGTTTGGCACAGTCGGTAAAGGACATGGGATGAGACTTTGGCTTCTGTGATATAAAGTGAGAAAGAGCTTGTATGTTGTTTGAAATTCTTGATATGACCCTAAAATGTAATTTTTAATTTGTGATTTGAGTTGGCGAGTTCTATTGTGGTGATGCGTTCTTTGCTGTGATAGCCAGTCCATCAATCATCCTTGAAAAGTAAATAGTAGTGCTGTAGCGGGAATTTGATTGTTTTAGAACCATGTTTCCCTCAAGTAGTTAGGCATATTTATTGGTCTTGCTGAAGGATGCACACCTTGAAATTTTTTGCCTTGGACTTTTCTGCTGAGCAGAACTGCAGGTACTTAAATAGCTTACACTTACCTAGCCTAATCTACTAGAACCCCAACGGAACGGCACCATGACCTTAGAGAAAATATATGCCATAGATCAAGGGCAAAGCTTGACTTTTTGTATTGTGAGGTTAAAAATTAAATTGCAATTTTTTTTAAACAACATAAAATAAATAAAAATAAGTCGACACACTATTACAATTGTAGCTTATGCCTTTTCATACTTTGGAAGTAAGAGTTTTCTCACCTAGAATATTGCTCGAGCGGAATTAGGTGTGTTATGGGCACCTTAAGGACACTAGAGCGGAACTCAGGCACTCGTGGGATGGTAAACCTCAGTAATTCATGCTTGAACGTCTTCTTCTGACCTTGCTAGGCGCCGCTAGGGCAGTTTATAACAGTGCAGTGTAGACTACATATTACATACTTCATTTACTCTCACTCAACACCAGGCAACACAAGTCCCAAATTCAATTACAATACAAAGTACAAACCCCAATGATAAGAAATAGATTTGGGTGAAAAAGGAGAGGAAAAGTGAAAGGAACATTGAGAGAAAATCAAACATAAAAATTAAAACCTTTAATATTAAACATAAATATTCTATACCTGACTGAAGCATAGAGATTGAAATTGGAGATTGGATGAGGGTTTATTTGAGATAAAAGGAGGGCTTTTTTTTTTTTCGTTTTTATTATTATTATTATTATTATTATTATTATTATTATTATTATTATTATTATTATTATTTTTATTTTTTGGAAGAATAGAGTGAGTTGTAGTTTGTAAATGTGAGCAGTTAGGGGTAAAGGCATCAGTTAGGGGTAAAGGCATATTAAAAAAAATAAAAAATAAAAAAATAAAATAAAATAAAAATAAAAGTTCTATGGGATCTCTTGACGCCACATAACGCCATGTGGGTCTGCCCATTCTACAGTTTTGCTCCGGATATAGGTGCTTTGAACCCATGATTAAGCTTGACCATAATTAGGCGCATGTGTTTTGTCCTGACTTCAGCTTTAACCATACCTAGGGTGGGGGTAAACCTAGTGGCGCAACAATTGTTCATACCGATCTTCATCTGCTCTGATGTGTCAGTCCTAGAATCTCAATTGTGAGTAGGGTCTCTGTCACCATGTTATAAAAATTTAAATGGGTTCTTTGCCATTTAATACAATTTGTTGTATGTATAAAGGCCCACTATTTAGAATATGTGCACCATAATGGCCAATAAAAAGGAAATGAACGACGCTTTCTATTTCTTTTCCTGTGTCATTTTCTGGCAGTTCATTACTGCATCAGATTTTGCCATCTCGTGGTAAAACTTACCCTATTCAACTTCTCTCAAACAGAACCAGAGACGTGAAGCTGGTGGAAGAGTCATCAGGAGCATTCTTCATAATAAGGATGGTTGTCAAGGTCAGTCATCATCTGGTGCTCAATCTGAACAAGAAATCCATAACTCTAACCAGGACAGGGAAAAAAAACCTCCCCGACCTCCAACTGTGCGGTTGTTACAGAAGGACATGAATGGGGCTCCTGATAATAAGGCTGTTGGCAATGCTATACATGCTATCCACACAGATAAGCGTGAAAGAAGGACAAGGAATAAGGATAGGCCTGATCGTGGAGTTTGGACTCCTCTTCGGCATTCAGGTAGCTCACATGCAAGTGATGAGTCTTTATCATCATATACTTCCCAAACCACTCCAGAAGTGGATCCTGCAGAAGGTGTGGTGGCTAAATAATGTATTTTATGGAGTTTGGAAGAAACTACTCCAGTAATGTGCTTTCACACTTTACTGAAAATGATAATATTTGAAGTCCCAACCTCGTATTGTCTTGCATAATATGCCTTTAATATGGTTTAGCTACATTTTGTTATGTCTTGGACAAAAAATTATAGTGAAGTTTGTAGGAACTCATGGAGAAATGAAACTTGACATACTGAGTGTGCATGGTGCTGAGTTCAGACCCTCTGGAAGTGGACGCGGAAGTCAATACTCAGTTGATAATGGTTAGTTTTAGTTTTGGAGAAAGAGCAGATGGGATAATACTTATAACTATGCACCATGAATTGGTGTAGGTTCTTATAGGCATGGTGGTCGTCGTGGATCAGCATACAATACCAAGGATGCAGATGGCCCCTCATTTGTAGAGGGGAAACCCTTAAAACGTGGAGGTTCTTCTGGCTATGGTTCACATGAGGTATGCTTCAAACTTAAACACAGATTCATTTTCTTCTTCTCTTGTACTTCTACTGATTTGTTTATCTTTTATCATGATGGAATTGCAGAAACAAGTGTGGATCCAAAAGTCCTGTTCTGGTTCATAGTTTTGTTGTATATAGTAAGCTTCACCTCTGCGATAATTACTTTCATCATTTTTTTTTTTAATTATAAACTGGTTTTAGTTCAAATGCTGAACACAAAGTAAACTAATGGGTTATCAAGCTAAAACCCGAAATTTGAAAAAGGAGAAACGTTTAGTATGCTAAAATATGGAGGCTGGTTCAAAATAAGCAATCTTGATCCTTGTTAAAATCAATACCCAAGAACTGGGCAACTGGTACTATGATTAGAGTTGGTGACAATATTCAAATCATAAAATTATGAGGTCTAGTATTTCAAGTAAAATGAGACACGCGAGAAAATTTAAGAGCATTGAAGAAAACAGTAGAAGAGGAAATATAAGGAAGATTATAGACTTTGTTTGGAAATAAAATGAAACCTTGGAGCTGGTTTTTTCTCCGAATAGTTGAAATCATGCAGATTTAGCCCCCATTTGGGCTTCATTATTTCAAATTATAATGAAAGGAATAGTAATTTTTTTGAATAATGTGTGGTTAAAAAGGAAGGAAATGTTTTTTGGTTTACGTGTAATATTATTTTATTGAAAAATGTGTGGTTGATAAGAAGATAGAGAAAAATGAATTTTTATTTAATGGTGGTCAAACAGGGGCTTAAATATTTATGTTCTTAGCCTGGTTTTTGTTAAACGAAATGTGAAAAATTTGAAATGCAGCTTTTCGCTAGGATATTTAGTTTATTGCAAGAGGTAATCTTTTTAGACGCTTCTGCAGTGAAATGTTTGGTCGGTTACTATATCGAAGCACGCATCTGATTTTGGCTCAGGTTCTCTCTTGTTGGACAAATCTGGCGCAAGAAATGCTGGAGTAGACGAAAATGCTTGGACACTTCAGTTATACCTGAATGCTACAGATACTGATGTATTTTTACTACTCAGTAGGCTGAAGAAATTCTGATCCTTTAGATCAAAACTGGTTAGGGATAGGAGAAGTGAAGTGAGCATGCGCAAATATAACACCAGAATTTGTCTAGGAGTCTCGACGATGGAGTTATACTAATTGGCCGAGCTATGGATCTCGCTGTTTTAGCAATTGACTTGATTGATATGGAGATAATTTAACTTGGTAGATTGCTGCTTTCTTGTTGCTGAACTGTAAATACAAATCTGGAATGGTGTGTACTGCTACTGTTAGTTGATCGCTCTATATATATGACACACACACACACGTGTCATGCGCTATGTTTTGTTGAGCAGTCCTGTAATCGCCCCAGCGTAGCGCAAGGTTTAACTGTAATCGGGTTTGTGAAAGAAGGGAGGTTGAGGCTGTTGCTAGATTGTGTGCTAGTGTTTTTCTTTAGCTCTATGCTACAAGTTTGTATCTGGGAGCGTTATCGGAATCGAATTAGATTTGACATTTGAGCATTGTTTTGGCATGCTATGGTGATTGTATTGCTAGATTTGGACATGACATAATATGGTTATAAATTATAATTCGCTGCTTTTTCCTAAACGTGGTTATTGTGCTTTTATTCTCAGCAATATTTTGTATATTTTCTTTGAGTTTTTATTAGAAAGTTGAATAAACCTGGATAAGAAAAGTGATTCTACTATATGGAAAATAATTTTTACCCTTCCATATGTACCAGTTAATAAGACGATTGCGTAGTTTATGTGATCACTAACGAAGTTAGAACCTATTATATAAAATTTGTATTTCTACTGTCTAGTTAAGTAGAAATCCAAGTTTTGTATATTTCATTTAATGCACTTTTTTGAGAATTGAGAAGCAATGAATCACGAGTTTTCTAGAAGACTAGTTGGGTGAACTCGCGTTGTACGTTAATTGGTTAATGTTAAAAGTAAGTGTAAATTTTTAAGAAATTTATTTGTAAACGTGAAAGATATATATAAGCTGGTTAAATTTAAAAAAAGAAAAAGAAACTCATTGTTTGTAAAGAATAAAATATTGAGATAGGAACTAAAAGAAATTGACAAACAACCTATTGAGTACCATGTAATAAGAAGTTATATGTTAAATTCAATAAAAGAATACAGTCAATACTGTGTTTGTTGTTATTTATCTTCTTGGGATCTTCTTTGAAGTTCTCCCTTCCAACCGTCTTAATACAATCCATGGCTTTGACACAGCATCTTCTGTGGGCATGATTTTTATTTGGTATTCGAGCCTTTTAAATCTACGTTCTGTACATATTTCTTTACCTTTAAAGAGAGGATGCAAACATTTCTATCCAAAATTTTTCCGTCTATTTTTGCAATTATTTAGATGAGAGTATTCCTAAGTAGCTTTTATGAGAAGTTACATTAAAATGATGTTCTCGACATTTCAAATGTCGTTCTCGATATTTGAATCATTTATATTTCAAAAGTATACATATCAAATCACAGCATTAAATGTTCTCAACATATTAAATGTCTAGAATGACATTTCATTCCGATCATGACATTTTTCTACACTTTAAATATTGTTCTCGACATTTTTGTATCTAGCATTAATTGTGATTTGACATGTGCAATATGAAATTATTTATTCTTTCATTAAGGGTAAAATAGAGAATTTGGTATCAAATTTGACCATTTTTGCAAAGATTATCAAAAGTGGACATTTTTGAATTGACATGTAAAATTGGACATTTTTGCAAATGCCCCATAAAATTACCGTGGCTGCTTTTGGCTTTCCATACAAACCAATTACTGTAGTTGCCTTTTCACCCTTCAAAAATATCTTCTCATTGTTCATTCAATGATGCCGTCTCATATGGCTTCCATAAAGGAAAGAGAATTCCTAAAACTAGCCATTTATTGTGGGTGCAATTTTACTTCAAGCCTAATCTCAGTAGAAGAAAACTTTGAAGACAAGCCATTTATTGTAGCTGTCGTTTTACTGGAAGAACCCTAATTCCGGTCATGTATTTGGTTTGTGGAGAACAAATCCGAACCCATTTATTGTAGCTGTCGTTTTACTGGAAGAACCCTAATTCCGGTCATGTATTTGGTTTGTGGAGAACAAATCCGAATCATTTGCACAAAATCATCCACAAAGTTAGGGGCGAATCCAACATGAATGTTCAACTGGGCAGAGGTCGACTTTGACCGTCGACAATCAACGATCGAAAAAGCCCAGTCCGACTGGCAGCCGGTCGTGTATTAAAATTTGATTAAATAATATTAAAAATTATTCAATAAATATGTAAATGTACTAAAAACATAAAAATTATATACATATGAAAATATAGCTCAATACAACCCAAAATACTAAAAAATATACAATACAACCTTATTTTATAATTGTAAACTTAGACAACCGAATTCTACGGCATCTCGTATTTTGAAAACGTTGCAATATTGCTTCATTCTCAAGTTTTACAAAAAGATCTTTCTCCATATAGACCACAAATTTCCATTCAACAATTCATCTCCCATTTTGTTGCGCAAGTCATTCTTGATTAGATTTATAGAAGAGAATACCCTTTTAACATATTGCAGTTGCCACAAGTAATATCAAAATCAAGGTGATTAGCAACTGATCAGCCTATAAACCAATATAAAATAACAAGAGCTTCTAGTTTTAACCAACTTCTGAGTTCTACAAGATATGCTTTTGAGGTTGAAGAAGCTTCATCCATTCTCACAAGCATAAGAAACTTGACAAGTTTAGGTCTAAATAATAAAAAACTCTTCACTATTGAAATCCAAAGGATAGATCTCAGCATGACATTCCAGCTTATAGACAATAACTAGGTAAGGTCATCCTAAGGGCCAAATGTAAATCAAGTTTGTAAATTTGACATCCACTTCTTCCCTATTATCAGGTAAAAGAATATCAAATTGTTTATAAGTTTATTTGCACAGGCAACCTTATTTTGTTTTATCAGCATATAGAGATACCCTTCCCATGGTACATGGATAGAGCTTGCCCTGGTAGATTGAAAACAACATGCTATTTTCTATGTGGACCAAAAAAATTGAGTATTGTGGATTGGTTTTCATCGCCAGACTGACAAGTTTTGACATCATATTTTATGTTCATAATAAAAAAATAGACGGAAGAAAGAAATAAGATGCAAACCGGATGAAAAGCAAATTAAATTACATATATAGTGTAAACTACGAATGATAATGAACACAATGATTACCATATCCATTTTTTTTTTTCATTTCACTGCGAGCATACTGAGCCACAAGATATACAGCTGCAGAGAAAGATGCATATATATTTAATGTTTCTGAAATGAAAGCACATTAAAATCAAACTCAAATAGTAAATGGACATAACCAAGGAGGTCTATGGTCTGAGTTACAAACTCAATAGTCCACAGTAAGATTAAGAATGGAGATACAATACCCAATGAAGGCAAGCAGACAAAGAAGAGCTATACCAGGTGGAAATCTAATCTGAAAATCATCAAACATTCAATTAATTCTTAGCTGAAATGGGACTTGGATGCAATATCAATCAAAATTGAGAACGGGTTCAATTCGAGGAAACAAAGCATTCTGTATAATGCAATTTTTTCTCTTTGCTGAAAAAGGGAAATGAAAGTGATAATATGCCTCTTAAAAGAAGTAAAAGCATACCCAAACTCATGGGGGAGATGGTGAGTAAAAACATTCCGGCGGTTCCGACAGATCCAGGCCGCCCCAACTCGCCACCACCTAGATCCGCCACTACACAAAGTATGAATCGCAAGTTTATTTTGTTACGTTAGCTGTGAAGTGGGAGTTTGTTTTCCTCTTTGATTTTGAACTTTTCTTCAAATATCCAAATCATTTGCATAAAATCATTCTAAAAATTACGAATCGTAACTTCATTTTAATGTTCTTCTATATTTTGTTACATTTTGTTTAGATTTGCTGTGAAGCGGGAATTTTTTCCCTCTTTCATTGCGAAGTTTTCTTCAAATTTTCGAAAGGAGGAGAAAATTGGTACTGAAATAGGAGACCGGCGACCTTAGGTATGTCAATTTCATAGTTATTTAATTTTAGGCTTATTTGTTTCTTCAGTTTAGGTTTATTTATTTTTTAGAAATCATTTGTTCATTTCTGATGACATGAGTTTCAAATTTTGTGTATTTTGAACTTATTTTTCATTCTCTAAGTGAAGAAAATGCTATAGCCTTTGAGTACAAACTACCTAAACTGAAAAAACCATGCACTTTCACTTTGTTACATTTAGACAGCCTCCCGGAAAAATCTGATTAGAAGCCTAAAAGGGTTTGTGACGAACCCCAGCTTTGAATGTATGATTTACAATCTTTATGGGTTGAGAATTCAATAGAAAGATGGAGCTTCCTTTGATTTTTCGGCTTTAATGGTGCTGTTTCCTGGAAGATTGTAGTCCACAGCCCACCAAAGATTAAGCTTCTTTCTACATGCATTAGGTCATATGCTTTTGAGGCTTTTATGAAAGTAAAAAGTATAATTTCTTGCATTCTGGAAAAACTTATATAATATGTGGTGCTCTTCTATTTTCCGTGAGTCCAAGTATTGAGTTTGAAAATCTTGGACTCTGTTGTATTTTGTACTTCAATGCCTTAGGAATATGCTTTTCTGCTGCCTTTTTTTTTTTTCCTAATTGTATAACTGCATTTGAAGATAATTTGTGTAGCCATCCATATTTTGAATATTAATGGAGCCGCCTTCTGTATTAGAATTTTTTTTCACAAAAATACAGAAATTACATTAATCATCTATTCATCTTTTGTAGAAATTAGAGAAAGCCTTAAGTTAGGTTTTTGATACCCAATAAATTTCGGATTATGATGTTAACGTGGATCAATTATTTCATATGCATAGGCAGATGAATGAAATAAGTCCAACAACCAAGTCTATGAGTTACACCTTGCCCAATTGTATTCCCTCTTGGATGACTTGAATATTGGTCCGTTTAAGCCCCTTAAAGGTCCAACTAAAAGTCTAACCCTAGAGTATATATAAGGATATAACTCTAGCCACTTTTCTTGTATGATTTGTGAGATTTTGTGTGAGAAAAAGAGGAATCCCGGCTGCACCCTTTGGTGTGTGAAAAACAGCCCCTAGAAGTGCCCAAAACGCTTGTTTACTTTGTATAATTGGTGGTTCTTTCATAGTATATCTTTGTGGTGTCTTTTCTTAACCTTTGTGGCCACAAATCATCACATTTTCTTGTTCTATATGGGTAAGATTGAATAGTAATCGAGGCGAACTATATTGGTTGTGGTTTGGAGCTGGTTGGATTGGTTGTTAGTAGAGAAATGTATGTGGGATTGAACCCAGAAAACCGCCGATCTGAAGATCATTTGAGAGAATGAGGATATGACTAATTTGTCAGATAAATAGTCCTCTGAATTATACCTATTTTGTTTAAATTTTACAAGCATGCATGATGGTATTAAGCCCCTGTTTGACCCCCATTACCTGAAAAGAAAATGGGAGGAATAGTATTTTTTAGAAAAATGAGTGGTTGAAAAAGAATGAAATGTTTTCGATTTACGTGTAATATTATTTTATGGA